TTTCGAGGTTTTTCTCGATTTTTGGCCTGAGCCGGTTCTGCTACGAGGCAATAAACCTTAGATTCGAAATCAGTACCCCAGAGATCATATAATTCCGTTGAAAAATCTTCTACCGTACTCATGTTACCAAAAAATTACCGAGGTAAACCTTGGACATTTGTTCAGCTCGTCAAAATATGCATTTGGTAGCCATACCTTATTGGAAATTATTCAACGGCGATTTTTTGTGGAAGTTGATATCTGACGAATTATATCATATATTTTGTTTTTCAAATATAACGCCATTTTGATGAAACTAAATAATGGTGGCTTCAAACTTAGGGGATATATACAGCGTGAAACGTTCTTTAGAAGGAGATGTCACCTGAGCCTCCTCATTTAACATAAAATTTTAAAGATGATACGAAACTCCAAGGGATAGGGTAAGTCCGGGAAGAGATAATTTACCTTCTTTCAGACAAATGCGAAATGCATGCAATTGGACAAAAACCAGCATTTTCGAAAAAATAAAATAAAATAGTATTGTACTAAACTGAACTCACACGGATTGAACGGGTTAGTCTTGTTGGCCCATGTAGGTATTATACTACTCCCACATTGAGTGCACACCCAACCAGCGGTAAACGGTCGCTGTTGTAAACCAGCTCTTATCAGGTACGTTCTATTCCATTTCTGCGGTATCGTTTGTCCTCTGCATCTCTTCGCTTTTGTCGTTCGGAATACTATGACCCTCGATGGATAGGTACTTCGTCGCCATACTGTTCTATTCAGAGACGTAGCCTCCCAGTCACCTATATCGATCCAATCTTCGTATCGTTTAAATTGCCCCCCTTCGCTGCGATAGCCGTTTTTTACTTAGACATATATATAATTTGCTTAGGAACACGTGAGTCTGGCATACGGACGACATGACCAGCCAAGCGAAGCTGATGTTGGATGAGCATTGCCTCCATGATGGTGGAACTGGTTTTGCTCAAAGATTCTGTGGTTAGTTCGTGCCAGTTTATTTCGAGTATTTTTCTTAAGCAGCGCTAGTGGTATTTTTCTAAGAACCTCAGGTGCCACCTCTAGGTGGTCCAGGTTTCACATCTTTAGAGAAGTATTGGTATGACGATGGCTTTGCAGACCGCTAACTTGTTTTTGCATTTGTCGAAAGATGCTACCAAAGTATGGAAGCTATTCTATATTTTCTAGAGGTGGTCCATTGATAATTACAACTGGATCAGGTGCATTAGCATCTGAGGCAGGCTGGTATGAAATTTTTGTCCTATCCGTATGCCCAACGGTAGGTTTTTATTGGACAAGGTGGAGTACGTTTCCTACAAAGATAGAGAATAGGCGTGGCGCAATGACACATCCTTGCTTGACTCCGGTTGTGATTTCAAAGGCTTCTCCGGGTCGGTTGTTGGTAAGAACTGTGGCGTTCATGCACTAATCCAGGGATGTTGATAATTTTAGGCGGACAGCTGTGTAATGCCAGTATTTTCCGCAAAGCGGGTTGATGAACAGAGTCAAACGCGTTGACAAAGCATATGATGTCATGTACAAACGTTAGTTCAGCTCTTTCGACTTTTTTGCATTTGTCTTGCACTAAAGATCATGTCCGCTGTCCCTCGGTTAGGTCTAAACCCATAACTGTGTTTCGGGTAGGGTTGCTTCGGCTAGAGGCAGAAGTCGGTTGGAAAGAATCCTGGCAACAATATTTCTGGCTGAAGTGTGCAGTGATATCACTCGGTAATTTCCACACTGTGCCTTATCGCTCTGGCAATAAACCTAATTGTCTATGTTTTACCAGCGCCCGGCCCCCCACCTTTAAAAGGTCAGCAGGCACTCCAACAGCTATATTTTTCTTCAGTTGGTTGATAGCTTTTCCATAACCTCTTGACGGGAAGGATCGTCACATCAGATTGGTGTTTGAGAGAAATTATTGAAGACCTTATCATGTATGTTGGAATCCCTGTTCAAGAGTTCCTGCAAATGCTCCTTCCATCGACAGCTAATGGAAGCGGAATTATTGAGAAGCTGAGTCCCTTCTCTAGATCTGATGGAATTTGGACCGCTACAGAAGGTATTATTCGTGGCTGCTAAATGTTCAAATTTAATTGGAATACCGAAAAATTGTTTTTCAGTATTCTTTTCCTCTGTTCAGCCTTTGCATGGAGATAGGTTTGTTTCTTGCGAACTGAATTTAAGTAATTTTGTCAGATGAGCTTTCCTCTTCTGATTGATGACGTTATAGATTTCTTTTTTGTTCTCATCTAACCAATCCTGATGTCTCCTTGTGATGAAGCCCATTGATTCTTCGCAGTGACCAGTGCTGTTCGATATCGTCTGAATATTCAGAAGACAGTTTCTCATCCATTAGAAACTGCAATACCTTGGTTGTGGTCGTTTCCATCGTTTTGGTGCTACTTGTAGAGTCATAACAGATCGCACCATCCGGTGATCAGTCCAGCTAACTTCACCTTGATCTTTGGCGCATACAATAAGGTAGTCGATGAGATGCCAGTGCTTCGATCTTAGATGTCACGTTGCTTTCAGCTTGTTCTTCTGAAAAAGAGAGCATTTTTAATGACAAGATCGTGCTCTGAGCATTTGGTCAGTAAAGGTATTTTATTTGAGATACTTTTGCCAATGGTGCCATTCCAGAGGGCGTAGTCTCTGCCAAATCGGGCATTGGAGTCAAGTAACAAAATAACTTCGTCTTATCGAGCGAGGAATGTTTGTTAAGATTCTATCTAGATGGTTTCAGAAATCTTCACTTTTGTCATCGTCGGAATCTAGTGTTTGGGCATATGCACTGATTATAGCTCTTTGGTTACGAGATTGAGACGGAGAGTCATGTGTTTTTCACTTATCCCAGAAGGGCGCTCAGGATGATCTCAAGAAAGTGGCTTATTAGGCTAATGAGGTGATAATCGCTATATCTTTTTGCCTAGCTCTTTTTAGATGTTTATGTCGATTGGAGCCAGTCAGAAGGAAGGATGCCTCGGTAAACCAAATTGAAAAGCTTCACTTTTACGTCTAGTGACTCCTAATTTTTCAAGATTTTAATGACTTTCGAGTGGATTGCATCAGGGCCTGCAACTTTTCTTTTTTTTTTATGATAACGAGAGTGCATGCTGAACTTTTCCCATATTTACATCAAGCCCTTCTCGTCAATATTGGTCGGGAGAGCTCGATCTCTGATCTTGACTGTCCTTCAAGATACTACTGTGCGTGAAGACTTTTAACCTGTGAATTTTGCTGCACAACAACAATTACACGTACGGTTCTCGACAAAATCTGAGCCCAGTGGCATAGAAACTACGACTCTACGACGTCTGGAGATCCTAGTGCCCGTATTCTCGTAACAGGGGAGCAGCATTTCCATAACGGTGACAAAGACAGAGTAATCGTTATCGTGAGAAAGCTGTTCCCTGGTTACGAGAATAGATACCTACACAGAGCTGTTGAGGTAAATTAGCCGCCCCTAACATGAGATTAGACGCTGTGGGACAACAGCCCCTAGAGTAAAAATCAAACGAGAAGAAGCCACTGTCGTTAGCGCTGACAAAGAAAGCAGATTTCCTTTTCTCTGGGTCCCTCCCATTTAAAGTGAGACAAACGATAACGCGTGTGGCTTCTTCTCGTTTGATTTCTACTCTAACATAGGATCAGATGCTTCCTTACTGCAGAGGATCTTACGCCTATTTTCATAGCCGCTGACCTCCGTAGGGCCCCGTAAGGTGAGAACTACCAACCTTTCAGTCTCCCTCCACAGACGGCAGGTCATACCCTGAGCCTAAGATGACTTTCCCATGCGGAAAGGTATTATTTTTTCCTTTTTTGGAGCTAGGAGGTAAACAAGCGAGAAGAATGGGAAGTAGGACATATCAATGAGATAGGCATTTGAATTTTTAAACAGTAAGTATTGAGGGTGGAAGGTTTTTTTTCTCGGTTTAGCTGCTCCTATATATCTATATGGTTGCTCAAAATTTCTCTACTATCCTATAAATACGTGTACCTACCTAAGGATACATAAGGATAATAACAGATGATTATTCTTTTAATGCCATTTTCTAATAAATGAATATGCAATCGAATCAGGAACATATTAACCTAGAGAATTGGACAAATCATCAATAATAGTCATACAAATTCTGACATCAGAAAAATTTAAAATGCTATATTTAGTACCTACCTACCTATTTAATACAGATTCGTCATTTTTATGAGACATCTTTATTTAGATGGTTGACGTAGGTAAATGATAAAAGATTTTTTTATTGCTGGCGTAATTAGAGTACATTAAGTATCTTTCAAAAAAGATTCTGTGCTTTTTGTTCATTTTTGTCAAAATTGTCATTATGTTTTATTCATAAAACCGGAGTCATAATTATTCAAGGGACGCAAAGTAACTGAAATACTTCATAAGTATATATGAAATGAAAATAGAGCTAGAAACATTTTTTTACCAAAAATAATTATTTTCTGTTAAATTTTACCATAATAATTATCCTCAAAGCATCATTAACTATGACATATTCATCAATTCAAGAAGTAACCTAATAAATGACTATTGATCTATAATCTATACATTTTCATAGTCCAATTACAGTGTTAATTTTACCACCAATAATAAGGGTTGCTATGGCAATTACAGTTTTAATTTTCAACATACCAATAGGAGACCCGTAAAAATGGTTATGGGGTAGAAACATTAATGATGTGTGTGTATTGGAATTTACCCCACATATCCATAGTTTTTTTTAGGGCAAAGTTGATGGGCTGTGTCCAGGGTTGCCGGAATATTCGTAAAATTATACATCATTTCAGACCTAAACTGGGATCAGCTTTTCTTCGCCAAATAGAAATGTATATTTAATAATAATCGTTATTAGTTACATTTGAATTTATTTTTTGAAATAAAAATAAAATCCTGTGCATAATTGTGGGCATTCAGATAACAGTTCTGAAAAGTTTTCCAGTTTCTGGCAACGCCGTAGCTCCTTTTATGGTCGTGTTAATGATATAACGCGCGCCCAAAAGTTGTAATTCAAAAGTTAGTGCTTGCATCACGCGACTAGACACTAAATAGGCAAATAAGTATTCTCCCTGCCCACTGGTTCAGTTTATTTTAAAAAAATTGTTATTCGCAACAAGGCATTTAACTTCTAAAAAATGGAGACGTGTGGAATGAGCTTCATTAAATACCTTTTGTTTGTTTTTAATTTGATTTTTGCGGTAAGTGACATATTTATTTTTTGAATTCCAATTAGTCGTCGCACATATATATATTTTTTGTTTAATATTGTATCGTAAAAGATATTTTTCTGTGGGGAAAGATTTTCCTCATTTAACCCTTCATCAGTGTAGTAGGAAAAAGTTCCATTGTTAGTGTGGTGGGGTATGTCATACCACAAACTTTTTTTCACTTTCCAAATTGAGGTGGCATCAAATAAATATTTAATTAGTTTCTTTACCTTATATTTGGAATTAATTTCAATAAAAACATGATACAGACTCTTAGATTTTCTATTTGATGCTTCATAATACATAATCATTGTAAATTTGTATTTTTATCAAATTAAACATACTGCGAAGTTATTATTGGTTTTGAAATTATTTAATGAGTGCTGGACAAAGAAAAGCTTAACATTTTAAATCAAAAAACATAAGTCATTATCGTGTTGAAAAAATTATCCTAAAAGAGTGAATATATAAAATTTTAGGCTGCATCAAAGTCGATGCAGTTTTGACAAAAAAAGGTAAATTTGCATGTCCCTTGCATATGGATGTCCCACATTTCTGACAGCAGTAAAATATCTTCCTGTCTTTAGCTCGAGGACAGATCATACATCTTGATGAAACTTTTCATCGTTTGTTTTGGTTTTTCATGAGACCAAGCTGATTTTTTTGACTCAATGGTCTCAAAACCCTGGCTCACCTGCCCAGAGGCGAGGAGTTTTCTCTATCTACCTCTTCCCATAGTTTTCGCAAATGAGCTTGCTCTCCCTCGTATGACATGATATCCGACTAGTACTACATAGAAAAATGTATTATGAGCGACAAATTGATAAGAAATAACATATCTTGCGTAGGTATCTACTTCTGCAGAAAATAGTTACACGATCAGTGTGGTAGGGTATGACATGCCCCAATCGCCCTTGATGTCGCCTTATTCACGAATGATACAATATTTGCGGCGGTTCGCGTTATTTTATTATGTAGATCAACACTATCTTAAGCTACTGGCCACTAGCTGGCGTCACGAACTCGAATTTGGAAAATGCAAGGATACAAAGGTCGTCTGGGGTATGCCATACTCCACCACACTGACGAAGGGTTAACAAGCGTGAAAGGCACACTTCTTTGCCTTGTTGGAGATATTTAGAAAATGATAAGGGAATTGCCTCAAATATATTTTGTGCAAAATTGAACCTATTCTCATTACTCCGATATTTAAGAGCCAATTAGAAAATTCGGCAAGTTGGACAACATACTTCAACCTTCAAATCGGTCATTTTGACAGCTGATTTGGACAAGACTTGTGCTAACCAAACCTCACTATGTCCTTCTGCTGACAGAATGGTCAATTAATTTTGTTATGGAAATTAAATAAAAAACCGCATAGCTCGTGTCTATTATCTATTAATCATAGAAAAAGTATAGTAGGTATTCCATACTCGTGGGTAATGGCTATTACTCAGTCGGATGATTACACTACTCGCCTACGGCTTGTAGTGCAAACTCCATCCTTCGCGAGTAATAGCCACCATTACCCGCTCGTTGAATAATAAATATACTATAATTTACTAGATATAAAAATACATATACTTACAAATTATAAAAAATTAAGAACTTTCACCATTATTACATACTCATACAATAATATAATTGAAGATAGACCATAGCTTGAATACAAGGTAAGCGTAACTGTGATATGAATGAATTGTCATATAGAAATAAATGCATTACCTAACTTGGGAGTTATGTTCACAGGGAATACAATTCGGTCACTAGAATGTGCCATAAGTGTTAACTGGTATTTGTAATCTGTCAATCTGTTCCTTTATCAGATCTCCAGATTTAACTGTCAAGTCAATTCTTACCAATACACTATCGCAGATATTCCGCGAGAACTCTTTCACAAGATAACCGTAAAATTAATTAATAGTGCACGAGTCGTTATAGCTGAAAGAAGTGTATACATTTGGCAGATGTGTTCAATAATCAAATGAGTCAAATGTAGGATATAAATATACTTCAATTCAATAAGCAAGATTGAATTAATTAATAATTGTCTAGTCTCTCCATAGAGAAAATAACTATTTTTTTCTTGTTATTTTCAGCCTTGAAAAAGACTTTAAATAAAGTCGAAACGTCGGCATTTTTTTTAAATTTTTTAAAATTTAAAAGGGACTTTGAATTTTTTTTGCCCTAAACCCACAACACTTCCTATTCATACAACTGTTAAGGGCGCAAACCTTCTACAATTATAAATATACTGTTACGTATCCAAATGGTGATGTCTTTTATTTTGTGAAAACTATATACCTACACATCAGATCAGTCAGATACATACTATGGCCCATTATGCCACACTTCTTGGGCAATGATTAATGGAGAAAGCTGATGCCAGGTAGGATTTTTTAAAAATTAAAAAAAAAAGGCAAACATGTGATCCTGCTTGACACCACATAGTTTCAACCAATAATTGCCTGCTTAAGGGTAATGCCTTTAACCCTGCTTCAATCCTCCCTCCTTTTTAATACAGTCGGGTTTTTAATCCGTTGCAATTTTCCATGTGGAGCCTTTTTTACAACTTTTAACAATTTTTTCTATATTTTTACATTGTTACTGTTCAAAATTTCTGTTCATATAACTTCAGTTATCCATTCAGTGGTTCCTGTACTCTTTAACCAAAGTTTCCTTCGCCTCTCAAAATTTGGTTCGTTGCTGCTTCTGCTGTATACAACCTTACCGCTTCACGGGACAAAGCCACAGCACTTTCTAACGGGCCTGTTGTTCTCTCTTTTCAGTTAGCACTGAGGATGGACGGGAGGCCGAAAGCTCTCTGCTGCTATATCAAATAATATATTTGCTCGAAATACTCTGGCTTAATTTTCCTAATTCTTCAACGAGCAACACAGCCACTTACTCGACTTTTCTCAACCATGAGTTTTGTCGTCTCACAACAAATCTCCTCCTCGAATCTTTCCTATTATCCATCTCAGTACGTATCTCATTCCATTATATGGGCCAATAATTAGTTTTTTCTTCTTTAACGATATTCATTAATTTTTTCTACTTTTCCAGTCGTCCAAGTACATAATCATTTATTATTCGTTCCTTGAATAACGCAGCATATGGCGATATAAATAGGGCCTAAATCGAAAGCTTGAATTTCTTTTTCAGTGCCTTGATCGAGATTCACATGTGATCATCCGGACTCCGAGCTCCAAGCTTAGATAAGACAGGTGAAGAGGTTTTTCATACTGGTTTCTGACTTGTTCTATTCTAGAGCGTATCTCGTTTTAGATCACAGAACGAATTGATGACGGTATCCAGATTTTAGAAAGATGAAACTTGTTTGATATTTCATCCGTTGATTAAATCTCGGAAAAAAATCAGTTTAGTCTTATAGAAATACCTATTCATATGTAGTATAAAACGTCAGAATAGCCGTCAGCCAGCCACGGTATCCTCCGCATTTCTATAATTTGTTTTGGCTGAAGCTCCAGAACCTTGTCTACTTGGTATGCAAAATTTCATAAAGCTCCACTTCACTTTTCTTCTGGATAGATTAGACCGAGTGTCGTTTTTTGGCCATCCAATCCATAATTTGTTTTTCTTAAGATGATTTGGTTGTTTTTTTTTTTTCAGTTTTTATCTAATTTTGAATGATTAGGAATATTATGTAAGCGTTAGGAATAACTGGAATATTCCTTGAGAAAACAATAACAATCCAATTACCTGGGAAGGTAATCTCTACCACATAAATCTTCTGCCGTTTACTTGGCCATGGTAGTTACCAGTCACAGTTCCAATTTCATGACCAGGCTGAAACTCTCACGGAAGTAGATAATGACCAGACTAAAAGATGACTCCGTCATATAAAATAGCGAATGATCCACGCAATAACGACTCAGATGAACAGAGAATCTACAGCATCAGATAAAATATAATCAGTTTTCAAACCAATTGCATACCAAATAGACAAGGTTCTGGAGCTTTAGCCAAAACAAATTATAGATATGCGGAGGATACCGTGGCTGGCTGACGGCTATTCTGACGTTTTATACTACATATGAATATTTCTATAAGACTAAACTGATTTTTTTCCGAGATTTAATCAACGGATGAAATATCAAACAAGTTTCATCTTTCTAAAATCTGGATACCGTCATCAATTCGTTCTGTGATCTAAAACGAGATACGCTCTAGAATAGAACAAGTCAGAAACCAGTATGAAAAACCTCTTCACCTGTCTTATCTAAGCTTGGAGCTCGGAGTCCGGATGATCACATGTGACTCTCGATCCAGGCACTTAAAAAGAAATTCAAGCTTTCGAGATTTAGGCCCTATTTATATCGCCATGTGCTGCTTTATTCAAGTAACGAATAATAAACGATGATGTACTTGGACGACTAGAAAAGTAGAAGAAATTAATGACTATCGTTAAAGAACGAAAATCTAATTATTGGCCTATAAAATGGAATGCGATACGTAATGAGATTGATAATTGTAAGAAAGATTCGAGGAGGAGATCTGTTGTGAGACTACAAAAGTCATGGGTGAGAAAAGTCGCCTAAGTGGCTGTGTTGCTCGTCGAAGAATTGGGAAAATAAAACCAGAGCATTTCGAGCAAATATATATGATATAGCAGCAGAGCGCTTTCGGCCTCCCGTCCATCCTCAGTGCTCACTGAAAAGAGAGAACAACAGTCCCGTTAGAAAGTTCTGTAGCTCTGTCCCGTGAAGCGGTGAGGTTGTATACAGCAGAAGTAGCAACGAACCAAAATTTGAGAGGAGAAGGTTGTACAGTTAAAGTGTACAGGAACCACTGAATGGACAATTACAGTCATATATACAAAAATTTTAAATAGTAAAAATGTAAAAATATACAAAAAATTGTAAAAAGTTATAAAAAAGACTCCACATTGAAAATTGCAACGGGTTAAAAACCCCAATGTATTAAAAAAGGGGGAGGGTTGAAGACATTACCCTTAAGCAGGCAATTAT